GGACAGCTTTCTTCCAAGGCAACACAACCTTTCGGGCTGTGCGCGGGGGCGCAGTGCTCCGCGTGCACCAAAGCGTGGGCGCCATCGTGCCTGTGGAAGTTCAGAGGCCGCGGCCCGGCACAATTGCCCCGAAAAGAAGTCCACGCATAGGTGTCCTTTTGAAGTTTGACCAAAAATAAAAAGGCACTGGTTCAGACGATGCAGGCTCTCAAGTCATAGAGGTTTGAATCCTCCCTGGATCGCTTTGTTTATGCTTTTGTTTGCATGCGCTTTGGTTTGCGTTGGACTTGGTTCAGTATTGCCCATTAAATTGTCCGGTTCTTGGTTAAGGACATTAAGTAAGACCCTTAAACAGTCATATTCAACAGGATCCCTGGCTCCTGTGGGCACCCCCTTTGTGTGGCTGATTGGGCTTTTTTTTTAAGACATGGTAATAAATAGGTTATCTTAAATTTGATGGTTGGGGACCCCTCAAAAATGGATTTCCTAGCTCTCAAGCCTTTCTTTACCTTGGAGCTGGGAGAAGCTTGGATAGGCAAACCGCCCTTTAAAAGCAAAGGCTAAGGTTTGGATTTTGGAGTTTCATTTTAACCCCCGCGAAAAGGTCGGGCATTAAAGCGACTCCCAAAACAGTCACATAAAACAGAATCAGGGCCTCTTGTGGGCAACCCCGTTGTGTGACTGGTTTCCCTTACTTGTTTGTAAAGGTATCTTAAATTTGATGATTTGCATCCATCTTCAAAAAGGAAATCCTAATGTTTGCCCGGATTTGTTAGCCCGGTGATTTGTTTGCCCGATGTGTTTTGAATGTGTTCCAGATTGTTTTTGTTCGGCAACAAACACTTGACGTAAATCATGGTATCGAAACAGTGGGTGTGACATTGTTTGTTGTTCTGTGTGTCCCATTGGGCCAAGCTAATATATATATATATACATATATATATATATCATATGTATATAAATATACACACTGCATAGTGAGGCTTATTGTCCCCACCCTGTGGTCACAGCTCCTTGTGTCATGTCATGCTTGCAACTTTCACCAGAGGAACACGTATGATTGTGGCCGACCGACTTCCGAGGTTCCTGTCTTTGGGATCCACGAACGTGAATTGGCATGTTTCATCCAGTGCGCCATGGATATTTCAACTTACTGAATTAGAAGCCGCGCGTTGGTTTAAACCCCATGTGAATGGCCAATGATGTTTGGATTTCGTGAAGCGGCTGGTCTTAGCGAACAAGCACCGCATCCTTTCAGCCAACCCCTTCCAGCCTGTTTGACTCAGGACGGACGAGCTGCTAGTCCCCCCCAGCCCGGAGACCAATGGAGCGCGCTGCTTCGCCGACGCGGACCCCAAAGCGCCGAGTCTGCGAGTGCCTTGCTTCCTCAGCTGCGGCTTGGCAAAGCGACTGGCACTGACATAATGTTGACCCCATATTAGTCAATCCCAGTTTATTAATATGGGGGTTGCCCTCCAAAAGTGATGATTCCCCACTAAACCCAGGGACACCCTATGAACAAACTGGGGTTGATCAATATGGGGTCAACATTACCACGTGGGTGAGTGTTGTTTTGAAGGCACCCTTTGCAAGTGGCAAGCCGAAGTCCAAGCCAAACCCGGACAATAGACAATTCCACTAAACAAGCAACTGTTGATATAACACTGTTGAGGGGGTCATTTGACGGAGGTCTCATACTAGCTTGACGCTTAGCTGGAGACATGTGATGGCATTCTCTGCAGTAATCCGTTCCCCCTATCAATAAATGCGCCCTGTACTAGTAAATATGTGTTCATTTCCCAAGTTCTTCCCCCCTGCCCGCCCCGGAACAATGCTGGACTTCGGCCAATAGCTTGTAGCCAATACCTTAGGCCTTAAGCAACAGTTTTCTCAGCGACCCCAGCTGTACCCAGGGGGTACCTGAGAGCTCGAGAACATGCTATCTCCCGATATAAATCCTCGACTAAAAACCATTCCAATACCTAGACTGAACCATTCCATTGAAATTCCTTGTGTAGCGCACTGCTTCTGAGATGAATGCTGATAATTAGGCTGAACGTATTCACGAAAAAGGGGGTAAGGATCTGGGATTAGGGCATCCACTGACATGGGCCGGGAGTGAGCTTAGGACCTTTGTCATTGCTTTCCTTTTGCCATCTGTCTTTTTGAGGGACCCGTGTTTGGTGGGTTTTGAAGCAAAACCCAAAAGGACAGCCTCCATTTTGGATTTAAAAATCACCCACTTTGGGAGAATAAAATAAGACCAAGCAGGGCCAGTTTCGTCTTGGTGAGAGAGACAGAGAAAGAGCAATGGATTTGTCTCTCTTGGCTTCCTTTCAATGGGGATTTCTCAAAATAGGGCGTCAGACAAACGATTCCAGTCTTCTTTCTGTTTGCTTCAAACACCAGCCAAGACCACCATTTTGACCAACCCCTGCTGTGGATGGGCAACATCCTGCACCTGGGATGAATGAAACTCTGTAGCGCAGGCGAAGGTCCTGGCTTCAAGGAGACGTGGGGCGACTTCCGGCGGAAAGTCCTGGAAAACGCGAAGCAGGGCCTTCCACTGGACGAGGCGCCATTGCTGTGTACGTTGGAAGGTTTATGGACAACAGTCTCTGCCGGCGATTGGCGCCAGTTGGATGATGAACCCCGATTCGAACCGTTGAAAAACCTACCTGGCGCGCGGATCTGGTCTGTCAGGGTCCCCTGCATGCTTGTTTTGCGAGCCAACCGCCAACTTGTCTCAACTTCGACTCGCAAGGCTTCGCCTCAGTTCTAGGCACTTGAAGCCTGCGGTGTTAAGTAGAGCCGTTGATGTTTTCAGTGGCTTTGGATGAGCAGGGATGACCGGGTCACAAACCAACAAGCGAAAGGAGCCAAACGGAGGCTTACAAGACCAGCCAGTCTCGTTTTCCGATTCTGGCCCAGACTACTTCAGTGTTGCCGAACATTTCCACGACCTCCTTTACACGGCGGGTTTGCATTTTACGGAACTCCGGGCTGCAGACTGCAAGTATTAGGAGGGAAGGAGCCTTTGCATTCATCGCCTTGGGAATCCATACGGTTTTAGCACTATTTGCTCATTTCGTTCAATCCCACTCGTCATCCTCCAAGATTTGACTCGGATCGGTGAGTTGCACTTTTTTAAACATCCATCGCTCTTGGGTTTAAGTTATTTGTTGGGCTAACCGAAGAGGTCCCGTGACTGCCAGCTCCCATTCCATTCGCAGTTAGGAGCTGCTTGTGGAGGCCGTGGGCATGAACAGGGGAATTGTCGAGTCTCGGATTGGATATACGTTGACTGCAGAGCTTTCAGTTCGCAGTGTGGTAAGGAATGATAGCAGCAGCTGGTTGTTTTCATGTTGATGCATGTGCTTGTGATTGTGCATGCGCAATTGTATGTGTTGTTGTTTGAGTATATATATATATATGGTACGTATATATATATATATATATGTGCGCGCGCGTTCGTTTGCATGTGTGTGTGTGTGTCTGTGTGTCTGTGTGTGTCTGTGTGCGTCTGTGTGTGTGTGTGTTTGTTTGCGTGCTTGTCTGCTTGTGTGCCTGTGTGACTGTGTGAGTGTGTGCCCGTGTGCCCGTGTGCCCGTGTGCCTGTGTGCGTTTGCATGTGTGTGTGTGTGTGGTTGCACGTGCGCGTGCGCGTGCGCGTGCGTTTGCGTTTGCGTGCATGGGTGTGCATGCGTCTGGGTGTGCGTGCGCGGGTGCGTGTGCATGTGTGTTTTTGCGCCTGTGCGTGTGTGTGTGTGTGTGTGTGTGTGTTGTGTATTTGGTTGTATGAGCGTTTGTGATTGCGTTTGTCTACGTGTGTGTGGTTGTGTGCTTCTGTGTGTGTGTGTGTGCATGTGTTGAGTCATACATGCATGCATACATACATACCTACATACCTACATTTGCCTACATACCTACATACCTACATACCTGCAGACCTATACCTGCATACATACATACAGACATACATACATACATACATACAAACCTACGTACGTACATACATACATAAAACACATACATACATACATACATACATACATACATACATACATACATACATACATACATACATACATACATACATACATACATACATACATACATACATACATACATACATACATACATACATACATACATACATACATACATACATACATACATACATACATACATACATACATACATACATACATACATACATACATACATACATACATACATACATACATACATACATACATACATACATGCATACACGCACGCATGCCATACCATACCATACCATACCACACCACACCACACCATACCATACCATACCATACCATACCTACATACCTACAGACAGACAGACAGATAGACAGACAGACAGACAGACAGACAGACGGACATACACACATTGGACATACACACATACACACATACACACACATACACAGATACATACACACATGCATGCATGCATACCTACGTATATACATACTATCCCAGCAGTCAATGGTGTTTCTGTGCAGTTTGACTTATGAAGCGACTGCTTATCCGAATGTAAAACATAGAATTGTTGCTAGCACACCTAGTTGAGGCTTTCAGGAAGAGGTTCCGGGGTTTGGCTCGGCCCACGACACCGGATCTTGCATGCAGCGGTCAGTAAGAATGGTTTGCGCTCACATGGCCACTGTGCAGTTGCATGTGGCCGTTGCCCGTGCTTTCAGTGCAACTCGCTAATTAGAGTAGATAAGGAGACCGGAAAAATCATCTTGCAGACCTATAGGTCAACTGCGCTTTCGCACCACGACTTAGATCAGCAAATATATATTACAACAATGGCCCGAGAAGCCCAAGCTTGCGAAACAGTGAATGCTCTCAACCACTTACCTCATTGAGTAACCCAAGAAACAACTCGTCTTCCGGCCATGCTCTTCGCATCATGCGAACGCGTGGCTCAGGAGAGTGACGAGATCCTCATCCGTGGCCGGTCACGGTTCATGGCGCGCCTGCGGCACGAGTACACCCACGACGAGCACTTGGAAGGCAGTCGATCCGATCGGCACAGATTCTAAGTAGTGGGTTTCGTTGAAGCTTCTCTGTGACTTGTGCAAGGTGTTCGTCCAGTGTTGGGCATCTTCCGCTACTTCGCCAAATTTAAAGTCCATTCAAAAGGGTTGCCCAGAGTTCACAGGGGTGGTTCTTGATCAGGGCAAGCACTACCTTGCTTTCCACCATTAGCTTTCCCAATTGGTTGTCAAACAGCTTTGATTTATGCAGGGGTGCAGGTCTTTGAAAGGCATCCGCTCGAAGTTGGGGCCCTGGATCAAAAAGCGCGCGGACAAGCCGGGTGTGCAAGTCAGCGAGGAATCACTTCGTGTTGCAGAGGTTAGCTACAGCCTGGCCACGGGCCAACTGGGCAGCCAGGATGAGGTTAGCCATACAGGGATTTCTTCCATCAGCCTCTGGATGTATAATGCTATATGTATCTATAGGAGCTCTCCGGATGGTGACTCGTATTGTCCCTTTCTTCAATACGCCGTTGTTCACTAGTGCCCCTATTTGAGTTTCGCGGTTGTTTGAAGCCGATGTGCAACCTTTGAGGTTTCCCTTGGTTTGCTTTTGGTCAAGGTCACAAACAGATAGCCTTTGACTTTTATGTGCTGGCAGATGAGATTGGAGGGAATTACTGGTTGCTTCCTTTTCGGTTTCTTTCATGCGGATCTATCCTACCACCACTTAGCATGGAACCTGAGAGGGGGTTCCTTCAAGAGGAAAATGGTCTTCCAGGACCCCCCGAAAATCAGGTTCCGTGGCAATGGGAGGGGAACTGGGCACAAACCCTCCTAACACGAACCTTAATTCTCCTAACCATGAAACCCTAATATTCCTAACCCCGAAATGCAATCCTAGGTAGGCTATTTGGGGTTCAACCACGAAACGTAACTGGGCAACCTCTAGGATTTTGCCTCTACGGCGTCACGGCGGCCGCCTTCGTGAAAGGACGCGGTTTCGCGTCTCTGACGCTTCTCTTGTGGCTGGGAAGGGAGCCTGTGGACGACATATTTTCACCATGGGCGGGGTACCCCAGCATTCATTTGCGGATGGAGGAAATCTATTTCGCACCACTTCAAACCATGAGAAACCATTGCTTGTTGGTATTTGCAGGGGAATCATCATTCCATGGTTAGGTGGTGCAGGATTTTGTCCATCCACAGCCAGGTGTATCCCAATTGCGAAGTGGGTTTTGTTCATCAGAAGCAGGGAAACAGGAGCTGACAGCAAAAACATGGGCCCAGTTCCGATTTGGGAAGCAAAAGGTCCTGGCTGAAATTGGGCAGGTCTGGCAGTGACATTTTTTGGCAGTCGATCAGATTTGCGTAATGCCATGACAGCAAGCCAACAAGGGTTTCCTTGACCTTTGAAGTGTTTGTTGCTCTGCCGGTCTTGCCCAGCGGTGGACCTCGGCAAGAAAAAGAGGGGGGGGGACTTTGGATACTGGACCGAAGTTTGGCTCGTTGCCCTCCGAGCCAACAATTGGGAGCTTCCTTAGGATGGCTGTGAAGGAACCTCATCCGGAGCAAAGACCCAGATGTGGGTATGGGTCAAATTTACACCAGCAGGTTTTGGTCCATGTTTCCATTTACCAGGGTTCCATTTTGGGTACATAGTTTTGACCCACAGCCATGTGAATCTCTGCCACGCAGGACGTCACATGCTTTCAATGGAGCCGCAGCACTTCGAGGTCCATGGCAAGAAGTACTTTGCCCCCAGTGTGGGCCTTGCAGAGATGGATACAGCAGCTTGGCATAGCTTGGCCCTTCGCTTGGAGCGCTGTGTCATGGCCAGCCTTTGTTCGGATTCGGGGAGAGGCGATGCGTGAAGGAGTCAATCAGTTTGCTGTGGGCATCTCTTGTATTGATGCTGTGGGCGAGGGCCCTATCAGGGCCCTATATATATGCAAAGTGCATATGCTCATTGAGTGTAGTCCGTTCATTTCTATGTCATGATATCAGACGAAAGATCTATCCCCCCTGCGATGTGAGAAGCGGACAGCCTGGAGCTAATGAGAAAGTCTCGGCGCTTCGCTGCCTGTTGTTGAGAGACTTCAGCGCTTCCATTGGGGGAACAACCCCTGGCTGACTAATATGTGCGCGCGCGCCTTCAAAAGTGATGAATCGAACCACTAAAAGAGGAAATAGACACACACACACACATACACACTCTATGACTCAACCAGAAGGTTATATCAATACACTGATTTGAGGGACGAGCACAGCCCATGGCAGATTTTCCGCAAGGCTCTTCAGCTCGGACTGAGGCATACACCATGGTCACTGACTCCAACAGCAAAGGCGGCATCGAGTTCAGCTTTCTGGAAAACTCAGGCGGGACCAGCCGCGCTTTCGGCGTCCTTTTTGGTTGGGTTTGCTCAAAAAATAGAGGGGGGTTAGGGCCATGGTTTGTTTAGGGCAATCTATGGTTGGTTCAGGGCCATGTCTTGGTTTGTCCTTTTTGATTGTTTTTTTTGGTTGGTTTGCCATAGGGCCCTGGTTTAGAGCCGGGGTGTATGCCCCATTTACCAGGGGCTGCGCTTTCCGAGGCCCCGTGCCGCCGCCTTTTTGGGATCCCGTTCCGGACACTGATCCCTCCTGGGGTAGACTTAGTTGATACATTCTACATTTGCCAGTGACTCCAAGTGAAGCAAACAATAATAAAAGCAAATCCAAAGCTGGGCCTAACTCTATGCCTCGCGAGGTTGGGCTGTAGCCCTTGAGGACATCATCGTCAATCTGGAGGACCAGTGCCATGGAAGCAGAAAGAACTTGCCTCCGTGCAAGGCCTCTGCGTGCCTGGTGTTTGCTTAAAAATCCGAAGGACTCTGAATGGCAACTCTTCAGAACCAAAACGTACATGGAAGTCTACTGTTGCTTTGAGATCGTGGGAGCTGGCCCCATTTTCCAGAAGACCGGTGTTTCATGTGTTTGAAGCAGCCAAAGCATACTGATTAAGTTTGTTCTGGAGGCAGCCGTCCATTTCGGTCAGTCGGGGAGCCGGAGAATCATAGATTTAACGCCGATCCCTTCAAGAAACTCGCTGTTCCCCAGTGCTCCCTAGTGCCAAACTCAAAAGATTGACTAGGCACTGAAGATACTCCTTTGTTTAAATGCAATATCCTGTTGGACCTCACAGCTCCTCATTGCTCTTTGGTGCAGAAGATTGGGCAGCTTGTTTCGGGACAAGTCATGCGTTCTTGTTCCAGGGTGATACTTTGGTTGAGTGGCTTTCCGAGTGAAATCATTCAACCCAAAAGGGCGTCTTTCTTTCCATAGTCGCGAGCTTAGGCAGGGGGACAGTCCATGTAAATTCAGCTTGTCTGCAGCTACCAAACTTTGCCCCAACTGGACTAGTCAGGGCTCCCTTGCATCGACATGCGAAAGTGTGGTATTTGGCATCAGCTTCTATCTTTGTACACCTTGGTGCGAGAGGCTTAATAAATCCCCCCAAAAAAACGCATGCGATCATACCTAGATAGATCGATATGGAGAGAGAGAAAGAGAAAGAAAGAGAGAGAGAGAGAGAGAGAGAAAAAAAACTGTTACGCTTATTCTAAGTTTACAATGCCTGCCATTCTTGAGAAGAAACGACTCACAGTTGTGAGGTTTCGACATTTTAAGTTCTTCTTTCGGTGCTTGTCGCTCGCCCGAACCACCAGGCCATTTCGTCGATCCGACTCAACTCACCGACGAAGTGGCTGGACATAGACCCGCTTCTCCCTAGGTTCATCCGGTCAAGGCCAGGTTGACCCAATTTAGAAGATGATTACTCAGGTAACGTCAGGTGGCTATGGTCACAGTCCCCCCCCATCTCAGTCCCCGATTCCTGAACTTTTGAACCAGTTTCGTGGCAAGCCAGCAGCAGTTTGGTTTTTTGTTCGGCCAATCCAGTCAGGAAGTGAGGTAGAGGGAACCACTGGTTGCTCCCTTTCCGGTTTGTTTTATGAGGATCTACCCCCATGGAACCTGACAGGCGGTTCCTTTGACCGGAGAATGGTCCAAACCAGGGTTCTCAGGAAGGCTCAGCTGGGCCGGCCCTTCGGTCGCCCTTCTGGCTGGCAGGGGACCAAGCCGGGGCGAAAGGGATGGCACTCCAAAAAATGGGAATTTCCCCAAATGGCACCTTGGTTTAAAAAATAAAAATAAAAACCAGCAAACAATGAAGACTGCCTTCGTAACACTCCGGGGTTGTTTCCCACTTTTTAGGCATACCAAACATGCTTTTTGCACCAACTCGGGCTGTGATCTTTTTTGCGGCTTTGGCCTAACCAGCCGCTGGTTTGTCCCAATCAGATGAGCCAGACGACATGTGGCATTGTGAGTCCACCACCTCGGACTGGGTATAAGTTGCCAGTTCATCGTGTATTCGGGCGCATTGGGTTTGTTGGAGCAAGGCTTGGACGTGAACTGTCGGCCCTGTTCACTGGGACAGGAATCAGAGCAAAAGACATGGCTTGATAGAGCAATCCCGGCGATACAGTGGTCGGACGGGGCAAAACGGGCTGAACAACTCGGTACACAGGGCTACCTCCTTTTTCCCCAGTCCAGCTTGCCAGGGTTCAGCGGAAATTTCAGGAATCTCGGCTGAGAAAGAGGGATGTCTGGATATTGAGTTTGTGTTTTGTTCAGGAGACTTTGCGAGCTCTTGTCTGTTGATACCTCGAGGCTCTCAGAGCCCTTGGATTCCATTCACCAGTAAAACCAATGGCGTTTGAATGACCACCATGTACCAAAGGAGTTCTCATCATGCAAATTGGATCTACCAAAATGTTCATGTGGCATCTCCCCGATGAACCCACAGAAAAAGCGGCTTTCGGAAGGCTTCGCGACCTCGGCTAGGCCACCACTGGAGCAGCAGCCGGTCTCAGGCGGGAACGTGCTGTGGCCCATGCAAGCACGGATCGTCAAGTCGCGGGATGATCGGACATGTGTCTCCGTGACAAAACGAGAAGGGTGAACCTTGAAATCTTTGGGATCAGTGAACAGCCTGTAGGCTGCCGCTATGCAGCTCGGTGTTTCAGCTACCTGGATCCTCCTCCAGAGCTAAGTGTACATGGTTTGGCCATTTGAGCAACGCTGATTTTCAGCAAGACATCCTAAACTCTGTGTTCCGGCCAATCTGTTCAGAGCACTGTATATATATATATATATACATACACATGTATATATATATATATATATACTGTCGAAGAACGACCCGTGCTGAGGGTCTATTTATGCATATGGGTGGGTCTCGAAATCGGGAAGCCCAAATGGTTTCCTTCAGATCAATCACCCCCCAAATGGGTACCATTAAAAGAAGACACCCTCAAATTTAGAAACGTATGGCCTTTTCCCTCTTCCTCGGAAAAGCGAGCTATAGCTTTGTCATGTCCAGGTGACCATTTGCATTGGGTGTGTGGCCCCTCAAAATCTCTCGATTAGTAGAACCTGTTGAAAGGTTCCCCGCTAAGCATCCCCACTTGAGCCATCTTGTTTCGAAACGTGGCGACACGGCCTCCCCTGTCCCGTTTGCCGGTAGACTCTGTGTTTGGGATCACCCCAAGCATACCCATTCCATTTCTTTTCGTCCGAGTAGCGTGACACAGTCATTTCCTCAGCTCCCAATGATAGAACCTCTGCAAATTAAGGTTCCAGTCAGCAATGTTGCACCCTGGTCGATGTAGTTGAATGCCAAAAGCCAACATGTTCCTGAACTCTTCCCCAAGAACCAAAAGGAGCTGGTGGGTTTATGTGGGGAATAGCCCCCCAACCACCTGATTTCAGAGTGAAATATTAGAATTCACCCAGAAAGTTGTCCGTCAAGACACCAACCATTTTGGGATCTGAGTTTTCATATGAACCTGAATTGTGGATCCAACATGGTGGCCATTTAGGATATTATATCCACCAACTTTGCGGGCCTAACGAAACTTCATGGCCATGTTTTTCACATTCCCAGCGGCAGGACTAGCCAAGAGCGCTGCAAGCCTTCGGCTGGAGCGGCTCGCTATCCTGGGGGTAGGCAGGCCGCGGGTTCTGTGGAGCCACGCAGCCATCGACTCGCCTCTGATTTGATCCGTGTGTTACGCGCACCAATTGGCATGCGAGTTTCCATATGGTTGTCAGGGGCTCATAGCGACTTGTGGGGGTCTATTAGGGGCTAATGGGGTTCCGTTGGGGACCGTTTCCAGGGGGTGATGCGGTCCCCGCTGGGAAATCCAAAAACTGTTGTGTGGACATCAGTTCTTAGTTCTTGCTTCCAATATTTTTCGCAACCAGAGTCAAGCCTTCATGGTTGCAAGCTATCAAACGAGCGAATGAACTCCTTTGGACGAATGGCCTCCCTTCCCTGAGAAAGTCTGGACTCTGGATGGACAAAAGACAAACCCTTTGATGTGAACCTGCTTGACTGCTGCAGTCAGTTGCTTCGGTTTGTTCGGTTGAATGCGGGCCCTGGCTTGACGCTTGTGTGGATGGAGCACTCAAAGTTGTTTGATGTTTTGAGCCCACTGCGACAGCAAAAACACGGCAAAAGTGTTTTTTTTTGCCAGAGGCTGTTGGGCAAGCGTATTGGTCCAGAACCACCAAATCAATCCCAAGCAGGCATCACTGTAGCCGTTTGTGCCGCTCCAAACCGCCTGGGAAGGAAGTGTGTTTGACCAGGTCCAGTTGAAGTTGATGCTGATAGCATGGCTAGTGAATCCACACTGCTCGATTCGTCGATGCATCCGGATCAAACTGCTTTGGCCGTGACTCATTGATTGTAAACCGCTTGAATGATTTTAAGCTTGATGCCCGGTTGCTTTGCGATTCGTTTTGTCAGTTTTCTTCTGAGGGTTCAGCGCCAATGTGCAGGAGACCATCTTACCGCCACGTTCGATGCTGTACTCATGGCGGAGACAAGTTTGATGGACGGGGAGGACTTCCAGGTTCACCGTGACTTGGCTCAGCTTCGCCGGAGTGGCGTGCGCGCTTCGGATTTCAACAGGGATGACTGCATGATTTACTCACTTCCTCAGTTCGTGAACTTTAAACTTTTTGGGAACACCATTTTAGTGGTAAATATAAAGTTTGTTTTTTTTGGCCATCCACTCAGCAAGTGAGGGGGGATATATGGGGCAATTTGTTGCATGCCCCATGTTTTGTCAAGAGCTGTTTGCATGAGGCATTCAGCCTGACTTGTGCCCTCATCAATTCTGAAAGCGTGTTGGCACGGGAACAAATCACAAAAGATCGTGTGTAGCAAGTCAAACACTTTGATCAAAGGTATGTTATCTGAGATTGGCCATGGCTTCTTGCAGAGACAGACGGCGCCTTTTATTGCCTTTCCAGGCCTCTTTATGTTTCTGTCCAAGGATTTACCATGGCTTGTCCACAGTCATGTTTTTGTTTCTAGAGCATGCATTTCATGTTAAATTTGGGGATCAATATTTTTTGGAAAGGCATGTGATAGAGTTTCATGTGAAATCACCTGATCATCGAGCTGCTAGAACTGCGACCAAGTTAGCTCTCTTTATAGGGTGGAGGGACCCTACTTTTATAGACTTTGTCACATTCGAATGTCTAGACCGTATAACGTATGGTCAAGGAAGTACATGGAAATCAACCAATCACTATATAGCTGTTCGCAGTGTGCTGAAAAGGCTCATTGCAGATTCTCATGCCGCATAGCCTTTCCGTGCTCCCATCGGCATGCATCCACAATTGAAGTTTGGCGAATATAGCCTTTCCAATTTTATGGTTGAGCGCGTTTGGAAGGCCAGGGTATACCCGTGTTTTGGATTACTCCTTCCGTACGACTGCCTGACAAAAGTATTGTAGAAGGGATTGCCGAAGCAAAGACTAGACCTGGCTATGTCTAAAGCAAGGCGACTTTTCCCATGCATAGTCGGTAGGGGATGCCCTAAACAACGATACCTTTTGGTGTTGCGGGGCATATGTCTTGAAGAGATCGGAAGGTTGCTTGTGGCTTTGGAGCAGGTGTCGGGAATCGGTGGCTCAGAAAATGTTTGGATTGTGGCTCACCTGAGCGTTGTTGGCCAAGAAAGGCCCCCAATTCGACCAATAGCGTGCCCTTTATTTGCCCTAAGGGGGGTCACAAGGCCCCGTCGTTCTTTCCTCTGCGGACCCTGAAATGCAATGGCATAAGATTCGGTTCAAGCAGAAGCCCGTTCGGAACGCAAACATTTGTTCAGCTGATTCCGACTTCCATTCGGGCATGGGTCAAAACATAGAGCTTCCCTAATCCTAAAGACAGGGTAGCCTCAAGAACAAATGGAGGCTGATCCAATGGCGCTACCCTAGTCCATCCCTTTGGCAACCCTCCATTTCTAAGCCAAAAGGGTATGGTAGCCTCAAGTTGGTAATGCCTAATCCATGTTTGCGGGCTTCCCTGACCCCCAAAATGGCGCACGGTTTGAGGCGACTTCCTGGGGCGCTTCTGCCCCAAACACCTGGGCCAGCGCCACCAGTGCCGGCAACGCTGCGCCCTGCTGGGCGACTGCCAGGCAGAGGCGCGCGAGCCGCTGGAACCAAAAGGAAGCCATCGATGTGCAACGCCTCAGGGTCCAAATTGGCTGTGGGTCAAAACCAACGGGATCCCATTTTGGGGTAGGTGCACCACCCATTTTAGAACCTATTTTGGTGGGGATTGGGATGTTCACTGGGGGTACGAGATTTTGACTCAGGGTCCAAAATGGCCATGGGTGCAGATCTTGGTAATAGCAAATATTCCAATGAGAACTTTGACGGCTGAAGTGGAGATGGGTTAACATGTGTGGGCCTATATCATATACAATCAGCATTGAAGTCAGGGTCTATTTTTAGGAACCCCAAGCTTATACTTCCAAGGAAAAGTCCCAAGTGCCCTTTGCAGCCATCGTCGCAAGCTACCAACCTTTGGGTGGGAAACGAGTTCTCACAACGCAGGTCCCGTACTTGACTCCGATGTTTTTTTGATGAGCTACCACATTGAAGGTGTTCGTAAAAGGGATATGCTCTTGCAGGGCGCAAGCAGCTCTTGAGACTTGAGACGAAGCCCAAGCAAAGTTTGCTTGCCAACAAATTGGCTTTGTGAACATTGAGGCTCGTTTGAATAGCGATCCCTAAGACCTCATTGTCTAATGTCTTTGGGGCTCCAAGGCCTCATATTATATTTAGGGTCTTGAGTTCCTGGGGGATAGATGAGAAGCAGCCGCAAGACCGCGGGAAAGCTACGGGAAGACTATGGGGAGACTGCAAGGCTGCCGAGAGACTACCGGACAACTTGAAGGACAAGACTACAAGACTAGCGTACTAAAAGCGAAGGCGAGTCTTTCAAACGGATTTGGAACTATTCCTGTTTCGCACATAAGGGTTTTGGCGGCTCATACGAATCAAATATGTCGAATCTCCGGCTCAGATATAGCGAATTGATAGGTCAGACCCCATGTAAATGATGCTACAAATGACAGGGTCAGCCCCAAACCAAATGAGCCCGCATGTTGCGGTGCAGCCATCACCGATTTTGGCACAACCTCAATCAAATTTCATCTATATATTCCACTACCGGAGGGTAGCAAGCTGCTTCAATGGCTGCGTGGGAGGTTGACATGATTTACGCCTGCTGTTGGCACCCGCCACTTAGACTGGGACCCAGTAGAATCAGGGCTCTTTTTCAGGATGGCATGTTGAGCCCAAGTGTATTCACCAGGTTCTTTGAAAGGGGTCACTTATTACACCCCAGTGGAGTTTATGCACCAAAAGCACTGGCTTAACTTGGTTCCTTCCATCTTAATTCGATGCCTGCTGCCAGGTGACTTGTGAGGAAACGCTTTCGCAACACGCGAACTCGCATGGACTAGTGGTCAACGTTGCATCCACCTGGTCCCCTCTTTGCACCGACCATGGTGACTTCACCGAGTTTACTCGCTTGTGCCTCTTGTTCAACGGCAGCCGTTTTGCTGTTGTTGTTTCCCTTTTTTACCCACGAAGTTGGAGGGTCAGAGCCGTTTGTTCTGCTTTCAACCACGTGCTAGCAGCCAGTGTTTGTTCATGCAAAGGTCAAACGAATTCTAGCCCAAACGCGTGAATTTGACAGGAGGGCAAGGACCCGATCGCGGAGTGGTTGGATGGCATCATCCACCCGGAGTCCCTGGAAGAGCTGACTTTTGACCTGGAGGAAAGGTGCCTTTCATCGAATTCCGATCGACGAATTTCGGTTTCCCCCCCAAAAATACCCTAAGGCCTTGGTGGGGTCTGGGCTGGCTTACGGGGGTACCGGTTTCCCCAACACTAGCCTACCTTGAGCTTGGTAAGCTGGGGGTCTGGGCTGGGAGCTTAGGGGGTGCGGGTTGATACTAAAAAACGCATGGTGGCCGCCTCTTTGCTGCTTGGATGAGGCAAGGAATCGGTGGCAGACCGTGCCCTTTGTGCAGCTTGCCGGCTTTTCGTTGATGTACACCTGTGGTACGTCGTTGCTACTCAAGCGAATCGCCGGCGGGGTTCCGATTGAAACCTACGTGTTTAGCAACGCAAAAGGTTGACCTTGTTGAGTCCGTTGGCCAATAGGTGAGAACCTCGTCTTTCAAGCGAGGTGGTAATTCAGAACTAATTGGAATAAACCTTACGCTTCGAATCGGCAATCCTAATCAGGGTTAATTAAGATTCAAATTAAAGTACAAGTGCGGGTGCTCAATCACAAAATACGGAATTGGCCCGAATGGTCCATTTTGAGCATGTGTCTTTTTGCGGGGAACTGTTTTTGCGTTGGCTTTAAAGGGAAATCAGAGGGAACCCACACATATGTTGGGGTCCCCGACATAGAGACAGACCCACATCTCGGATGAAGCGTCCACGTTTGAATATCTCAGGTAACCATGGGGGAATGTGTTTGTTTGGTTGACGTTATGGATTCCAGACTTTTATTTTGTGTTTTTGTCCTCGGAAGCGGCTACACATCACTGGAATGGACTTGAAGTGAGCATCGTTTGTGAAGGCCTGAAACGCATGTGGATTCTGAAAGTCACCCATCGACCCCCAGCCACATGGTCCCCCGCCTGGAACCCGCAGGGCCCTTGGGTGAGACAAGCTTGCGACACCAAAATGGCGTGTGATCAAAAGGGACCATTCGGAGGACCGTTCGGGAACACCGCAGAAGCTGGAAGTGACTCCTGGTTTGGGGGCCGGGACGAAACGGGGGAGGATACATTCAATTGCCGTTTGGGGTCACCGAAAAGATGAGAATGTCCATTGAAATGGGCGGAGGTTACATTCAATGGCTATTTGGGGGCCAGGATGAAACGGAAAAGCTTACTTTGAATAACTGTTTAAGTACCAGGATGAAACCGAAAAGATGAGAGTTTCCCAATAAGTGGGGGGGGGAATTACTCACGGCAAAACTTAGCAAATTGTTAAGCATTTGTTTTTACAAAAACGACACGGAACATGAACCAATCATCCCACTGGCGCACCCCTCGGCCCGAGAAGACCAACATGTTGGGTAGACGGGGGGGGGTTGGCCCGGACTTGAGCATCGGTGATGGTGGGGGGGTTGCCGTTACGTTTGGATTGCGCTGACTTCTGGCAGGCGTATGCGGGGGTAGTTTTGTTCGGACAGCTTTGACTTCTGTCAAAGCACTGCAAGACACAGCCACACGTTGACGTATCACTAGCCAAACGCCAGTATGTGGTCTATGGCATGTGTCTTGTGGTGACAGCCTGGGCACAGCTTGCGCAAAGCCAAAAAGAAGTGTTTCCATCAGGGATTCTGGAGGTAGACGGAGTTCGCGCAGCAGCTCGCAGACGCCAACATGACAAGCGCCCGCACAGCGCGCAAGCATCAAAGTGTGCGAAGATGAAGTTTGTAGCTTAAAGCTCCGCTCTCAAACCGCCCGCAGCAGCAGCCGGGTGCTGACTTTATAGGCGCGCTGCTGAAAAAGTAGCTCAGGCGCAGCCAGCTCTTCTCAAAAGGTCGGACGCATCGCGCGCACGTCCAGAGGCTTTGTGCTCGAGAACGTGCTGCGCCTACAGGGGTTTTGCCCAACACGACATAGACCGCGCAGATCTGTTTTGGCTCGCGGCGGCTCCCGAAGAGCAGCAATCTACAGCCTGAGACCATAAAAACGCGTGTGAGCACGCCTGCCATCGCTATCCGAGCTCCTAAACACGAGTACGCAGGTCTGACAGCACTTGGAAGACGCCGGTTGGCCACGAACCCCATAGCACACCGTTATTTGTGGTGCGTTTGCATACTCCGGACTTCGCGTGATCTGCGCCTGCGCCTCAGCCGGCCTAACCCCGCCCTTAAAACCCCAACATGTCGCATGGCGAACCCAGGCAGCGCCGCCTGGCGGAAGTTGCTCAGAGCGATGCCAGGCGCGCTCCGGTCGATTTGGGTGTTCCTAGAATATGCTATTAATAAGATACATGTGTGCAAAACAATACACAAGTTCTAGATAATATGATATTTTAAGACATAGACCATATTTGAATCAATCAGCGCAAGTGCCGCTTTGAGACCGCATCATGATATTCCCCTTTTCCCGCCACAAGTAGGCTTGCCTATGTTTTCCCTTTTGGTGGTTTTAAAGATAGCCATCATCACCTTTTGGGCCAAGTTAAAGTGAGATTCCTTTTGCCAAATATGAAGCCCAAAGTTTGACGAAGGCTTCCTGTTGCTTGTTGTTTTTCTCCAGGCCCCACATCCCCAAGACGCCTAGCAGAATCTGTGCGACCGCTGCCCTAGCGGGCCTGTCGAAGCGGAGGCTTGAGGATCCCCGGGCCCTGCGAATAGAATGCGTGTCCGGCACTGATAGAAGTGTACGCGAAAGAATACGATGATCTTACGGCATTGCCGAAGTTCGTCATCCGAAAGAGGGCAAGTAAAGGGGGTAACTGGTATGATTTTGCCAGCTTGGCACATTTTGGTGGTCAGAACTGCGCAGTGGAACTCCTCGAGCAGAATTGATTGCCGGTTTGCTGCCCAAGGCGTTGGAACTGAGCCAAAGCAGGATGCGTTCAAGTCCAAGGTTTTTGTTGCAGGGTCTAGCCGACCGCCATGCAAACATGGCTAAACTGTGATTATTCACGGTAGATATTCGTAATCATATTCAGGCTTCAGTTGGAACGCGCTATGGCTTGATGCCCAACACAGCCTGCTTCCATGCCGCTTCGTTTTGACACTGCGAGTGCCGAATTCGCTTCAGGCTAAGGGATGCCGACCTCATCGTTTGCTCACATCCAACGCTGCTGTGCATTATCCTCGCGCAGGCAGGGGCGGAGCTGCGCTTTGCCCGGTCCTTGTCACCGAACATGTTTCAGATACTGTTGGTGACCTTGGAACATTACAGTATAGGATCCGGTCTTCAGTCTTACTGCGCCGTACAAGCAGCTGTTCATGTGGTCTCCGCGTACACGTGCAAGTGCAGCCGGAACTGGTTCCAGGTGTCTTCGCGGCCGCTCTTCACGCACGCCTCCTCCACGCTTCTCTATGGCTTGCGCTGCCCCGACTGTGTGGAGTGCTTCGGCGGGGTCTTGTTTCGACTTCAAAGACCCACGTTTTTTGTGCTCGTTTTGGTCTTAGCGCCGCTCGTCGGTTGTGGGGCTGGTCTTGCGGGGGTAGGGTCGCTATGGTTTTGGGAATGAGGGAAGACCCAACGACCCCTTTTTGTCCTTGTTTTGGCCTGAGCTTGCTTCTCGGCAAGCCCCAACCTTGGGCTGGTCTTGCGGGGGTGATAGGGTCGCTATGGTGTTGGGTGGGAGTCACGGCTGTTCCGTGCGAAACATGCCATCTGACCGAACGATAGATGGCTTGTCACAGAGCAAGTGCGATGGGCAATCTTTGTTTGTCTGCAATCTCCCATGCCCTTTCCAACCTGCGTTCATTACTGGGTACTTTACCCATGTTGAAAAGAGGATTGGAGACTTGAGGCAAGCACTGTGCCAGGGCCTTCGCGTTTGTTGCTGTCAGCTTCGCTCCGAGCTTTGGCTGTGCCTTTCGCAGTGTGTCCTAAAAATGATTATTTTTTCATAGAGGGCGGCACCTCCAAGATCGGCGGTTTGCCTCCAAGCCCCGACACAGGAAATTACCCTCACCGGGCATTCCCTGATGACTGCTCCAAGGCAACTGCATTGAGTTTGTTTCTGTTGATGTTTGACGTCCAGCTCAAGTTCATGTGTGTTTTGCCTGACACCCATTTCATGCTCGCATCTTGGAGGTGTTCTGCGCGCACCTCGGTTTGCCTTCCCCATGTGCCGCTGGGTGTTCCGTTGAGGCGACCCCTGATCCCGTTTTGAGCAGCAGATTGACACGCATTGAAGCAAAACCTGAAGCACCCCATTACGGTAAGCAGTTGACTTGGCTCACCCTTTGAAACCTTGTTGGAATCCCAAAAGACAACTTGGAGGTCACACAAATTCAGGCATTAATATTAATTCCCTGAAATGGAGGAGACAAACAAGGGGGGTGCCGCTTCCTCGTTTTGGGCTGGATTGGTTGTCAGTGAGGCCCTATCTCAAGCATTCATATAACCAGGCAAAAACACACGACACACTGGAAAAAGCACAGCGCAAACTCACAAAACATGGGTCCATGTGGGGGGGACCACATATATAAATTCATATATACATATGAGATGTATGCATCTTGGGTAACCCAACAGTGAACAAATCGACACATGAGACTCAGGCACCACAGCAACCTGCGGCACTTTGGGCGTTCGGCACTGGCGCAGAGGTCAGGAGTTTTGTTCGGCATCGCTGGAAGTTTGCGGGTATTCACGGCATTGCCTCGTGGGTCAGTCTTGACATTCAGCCCTTCAATGGGGTTAGAGAGAATCAAAAGGAAGCCAACGACCTGGTGGTGTTGGACCGTCATTTCTGGGAAGTCCTGTTGAGTGCTCTCTTAGGTCTAGCTCTCAGGAGAAACGAGAGGGTTCCAAGCGGGGTCTATCCACACCGTACCTTGGATCAGTAGGCAGAAGGGACAAAACGCCACAGTATGTGCTTGTCTCAATGGGGTATGCCTGAAAGATGCGTGCTTTTGGTTTTCATTTGAAACAAGCTGAAACAAATACCCACCCTAGCAAGGAGCCACACCAAAAATGCCTCGGAGCTGTACTTCCCATCCCGGAGACGTAAGCGCATCGTCTCGTTTGAAGCATCAGGTGCGCGCGGGGGCTGTTGAAAATTCTGAAGGAGTACACTGTTGAGGTAACACTTTCACAGAACTTTGTATTCCAACCGCAGAAGCAGGCCCAAAGGTAGGTCAACAACTCCGACATGCTCGGTTTGGCGGATAGACCCCGTTTCATAGATGACAGTCTGTTTGAGCAAGGGTTTCCCCTGTGCGCCATGTGCATTAGCCCCGCCGCGTTTTCTTTCCTCCGCAGCTCAAGGGGAGGTCCGGAGTTGAGCACACCTGGTTACTTGCACACCAAAAGGGACCCTGCAAGTCAGTACTTTGCAGGTTCTCAGTGAATTTGCCCAAACAGCTCCATGGTTTTCGCCCTTTCGCTGCGCTGGCATGGACCAAACCGGTGTCCGTGGTTCAGCGCGAAAGGGGCCCAGCTCGCCGCCGGCAGGTTCTTGCGCATGGCTTCGCGCCATCTCCGGCGCGGCTTCCTGGCGGAGGGCCGGTTCCTGGCCGAGCAGATCCGGCACCAGGCCGGGAGCCCGGCCGTTGGCAGGGAGTTGAAAGCGCCTCCTTGGAAACAAACGAGAATGAAGGGATTTGCCTGGAAAATGGCGCTCAATCAAAAACTGAGAAAAACAATCAACAACTAAGAAAAACAATCAAGAGTGACTTGGTTGTATGTGATTGTGGCATACATGTTGGTTGTTATGTACACAATATGGGATCCCATGAAGCTCTACAGGTATGACCCAGATAGGCTTGCAGACACCCTGGAGTGGCTCTGGTTGAAGATGCCCAGAGGGTCAGATCCCTGTTGCCATACTAGGCACTTCTAGCTTCAATTTGCCCGGCACGGGCGAAATGGGCTGGATACAGCGTTATTCCCAGCGGCTTTGGCGGCCTTGTAGGAAACTCGGCTTCGCACCAGGTGGGCCTTGCAGTGCCTTGGGCTCCGCCCTTGGCGTTGTACATCGCCCACGGCTCCTGGCGAGGTAGCGGCGGAGCCGTGCGCCGGGCGGTGGTGCTGAGGCTTGGGGCTGGCCATCCCAAAATCGGTGGATCCAGGGACCTCCCGGAAAGTGTACCCTCCCCCAGACTAAATTGGAAGCTCCGGAAGACTTGGTTCCATTTACAGAGGCCTTCTGGGAGCTTCTATGTTAGTCTGAGGGAGTGTAGAAGGGATTCATGGTTTGTTTGGAGGAAAAGGAAGACGCGGTGTGGGAGTGATGGGACAGTCTTCTGCTTACTTCCAGCGTATTGAAGGCGCAACAGGTGGCAGGCTTTGTCTTGGGATCTCGATCCGCTAGCCAGGGGGGGAATTACACTAGCGGTTACACAAAGGTTAGGAGAAGGGTAGTTAACGTCGAATACCAGCAATATTCCTGTGCGATCGGGTGGGGTTGCTTGCCTCAAGCGGGGAAGGGTGTACAGATGTGTGCGTTGGGCACTCTTTGGTCTTTCGAGTTGACCTTTGTACCGTGTGGAGTTTCATGTTGCCTGGGACATAGAAAGGAACGCAGACATGTCAAGGTCTTTGTTCAATAAACAACAATAGGAGCCATCCGAATTTCTCTCCAGGTCTCGGTTTTTTGTGTCCCTCATGGGCGAGCTCATGCGCTCGCTGCTGCGAGAGATGGTGTCCATCAACTTCCCAGAGCACCCCCTGGAGGCAAAGTTTGAACGACGAGCCGTGCTGCAGACTTGGACGCCTTTGTGCGGTTGTACAATAGAGCTAACATCCCAGTAAACCTCATGTAGGATGCTTAGTTTTGTAGCAGCATAACGCTGTTTATAACCAAACACAGGCGGGCAAGTAGGGATGTCCCTCTTGGATAGTTTGCATTCCTCCCTCTGTTCCTTTTTCGGGGTGGCTTGTACTTTGAAATCAACCTTTCCATGGCCACTGGGCTAGTAAAGTCTTCGCGCGGACGCCTCCTCCTTGGTTGATTTTTACGATTGGTCGTGAAGGGGTTTCGGATTTGAGTGGGCGCACACGATGATCCTCGGAAAAGCGAATACGTTGGATGTAAATATGGGAAAACATATCCAAGCCGGGACCCTTGTTGGTATGTTTTCAATCAGAAGCTCAAAGAAACTTCAAAACCTCAGCCATTTGCAAGAGTCCCTGGTCTTGACACTGTCCACGTTGTACTCAACATATCAGGGTAAATTACAAGGATATCCTTGCCCTTTGCTTTTAACTCAGGAATCTGCCGTGCCCACCCGTGCTGCACGACGAGATCTGGCGGAAGAACAACACTACTTATTCTTGAATGCATTCGCATGTCAATGTGTTGGCTTCTGGCATTGACATGCTGTTTTGGACAACTGCTAGTAGGCACTCAGGACAAGTTGTGATCTCCGATCACATGTCTGGTGAGCGTGAAATGGTTTTGCTGGCAACGTGCCCACATTTGCATGTTTTGTTGTGCAGAAGCTTAGAGTTAGAAGCAAGCTGCTTGACGGGCTTGATGCAATGCTCTGCAACTATTGATGCATGTGTCGTTCCCTGATTTGCTTATGCAGCTATATGTGTGCGTGCGTGTCACTTGCGGGCGGCAAACGATTGCAATTTCATCAGGGCTGGCACTGGGCAGTTGAAACTGGACCTGTTGTGCCAATTTGAAATGGATTGTCCTTTTGGCAGACACGAGATGTGGTAAGAAGGAATTTCACTGAATCCTGTGCGTGCGCGCGTGCCTCTCCTGAGCTTTCGGCATGTCAGGTTGTCTTCCTGGGGCAGGACAACCAGTTTGAGGAGCAGTCGGCACTGTTTTGTGAATATGCCAGTCCTGTGTTGTTGAATTTAGTTCTGTGCCCATAGGTCTTTAATGAATACCCTTTGCCATTTGCACCTGTCTTGGATTGATTTCCATTGGCGAGGGGATTGGGCTGACTTTTAGATTCATGCCAGGGCAGCTGCGCAGGGCGACGTTGTCGCGGTCTGGTGTCAACACGGTCATGGATCAGCTTATTTGTCGGGGAACAAGCAATACATATGAGTTAGCTAGGTCCAGCAGACATGTAATGAGTGGTTTCTAGTCATACAGCTACGTGTGGTACGGGGCTAGTATGTCAAGAAAACGACGGGTGGACGACGGGCGGACGACGGGTGGACGACGGGCGGACGACGGGTGGGCGACGGGTGGACGACGGGTGGACGACAGGTGGACGACGGGAGGACGACAAGAGGACGACGGGTGGACGACAGGTGGACGACGGGAGGACGACAAGAGGACGACGGGTGGACGACAGGTGGACGACGGGTGGACGACAAGAGGACGACGGGTGGACGACAGGTGGACGACGGGTGGACGACAAGAGGACGACGGGAGGACGACGAAAAGAAGACCAGGAAGACGACGAGAGGATGACGGGACAACGAACGGACAACACATTTGCTGGGATGTCAATTGCGCACAATACGGACTGGCTAAATCACCGCGACTCTAGGCTGCGACTATCTGCAAACGTCGAACTGCTACAAGGACCTGACGTGTCAAATGACATATGTGAGAAGTGACATGAGCTGTGTGTGACTGGGTAGTGCTAAGTCAGAGCCGTCGTCGTAGTCAAACGGAGTCAATCGTCACACGCTGTCCTGCGGCTTGTTGCGTGCGTCATGCACTCATGCATGAGTCATGAGTCTTATGAGTCTTATGATGCTCTGCGAGTATGTCAACCCGCCGCCCTTTGTTTTGAACCACAGCTCTCCGCACGGATACGTCGTCGCATGTTGATTGCTGAAAAAGCAACATCATACAGCGAGGATTCTGCGCTGAACAGAAGGTTTAAAGGGGTGTTGTCAACGGCTTCGCCTTCTTAGCTGTTGTTTCTCCAACTGGCCTGCGTTATTTGAGTTGCGAAAAGGACCAACACAAGCACAAACTTCTCTATTTGCATCACTATAGGGCGGGCCAAGGCCCACGCCGCAAGCAAAGGCACACACCGCGAACTTTAAAGGCACACCTGTCCATGCCCGCAGGGTTTGCCTTCTTCGACTGAGCGTTGAGTATTGTAAGGTGATAAAATGAACATGTTGCAAGGTTAGCTCGGGCCAGGCCATTGAAGGAATCACGACCAGGAGTATCACTGGCAAGGACCTATCACTGGCAAGGACCGGCGAGCAAAAGAACACAGCGTCACAGCACGGATTCACCATGTCCGCAGGGCTGCAAGAGTGTTGTCAACGGCCTATACTATCAATGTCTTCTGAATCTACATGTTGACAGTTCAGCAAACAATAAATACGAAACACAGCGGTTCTTTCTGAATCGACATGCGTCTTGCTATTGAAATGTCTTGCAAGCTTGGGCCATGCCGAACACATGTGAAAAGTCAACTTCTGCTATATGCGAATTGTCGGGGAAGGACACAGAGACCATCGCGCCATCACCGGCAAGCAACAGCAGACAGCGCGGGTTCTACGCGCGACCGGTAATGTCTGCCCCTCCTCTACCTGCGAAACGCCGGAGCACCTTGGCGCGCAACACACTGACAGCACCAACAAACAGCATAAAACGTGTCTTCGCTTCAATCAACAAGGTGCTAGTGTTTCTTCACAAGCAGATTTTAGGAGTCCTGGGCCAATAGTCATAGACGAGTCATAGACATAGCGTGATGCACGGACAACGTCATGTCTGAAACACACTAGTCGCGCGTCGTATGAATTGTACCATGCTTTCGTGGGATCATAACTTGCAGTTGTGTTTTGAGTGCGTCAAACTGTTGGTTAACCACAGGAACCAGCGGACCACGCCGGGCCATACCATCTGAGGGGTAGTGACCTTCGTATGACTCTCGTGTGAACCATCATACTGTGATTCATAATCATAACTTACATACATCATGATATTGCACAAGGGTTACTACGACCGAATCGTGTCATATCGAGTCATACCAAACTCATACTATATGTTCGTATCAGGTAGCATCCTGTTATCCTGGATTTCCTGAAGCCCTGAACGCATACTCAGAAATATAATTTGATCAAAGCTAAACCTGTTTGTATGCGAATACGACACCTAACCACACCTGTCCGCACCTAGTCAGTATGAATACATTGGCTGACATGTGAATAATGAGTCATGAGTCACACGGAGCACGAAGTTACGAACTACGAGTCGGGGGTCCAAGGCCAACCCCGCCAACCCTGTACTGTGGACAGTGGGCCTATGGAAAACAAGCAGCATTGACCAGCTGTGGTTTGAAAGCTTGAAACCAAAGGCATGAATCACCAATCATCAGTGGAAACTTTAGTCTGAGTCTTGAGTCTTGAGTCGAGCTTCAGATCCTTGATTTTTGAAAGGGTTGGTTGGTTGGTGGACACAAACCGCCCCCAACCAATTCACGCGTCACCTCGCACTCACACTGCACACACACAAACCGAGATTGAACCCAACGTTGCCAAACAAATGTCGGGCCAACGCCAAAGCCAACGAACGCCGAGCCAATCCCAATCCAGCAAAGAAACTTTTAAACGAGTGGTTCCGGGGAGATGGATTCAAGTCTCCAGTTAAGTTAGTCAACTGCGCCTCTGTGAACGTGTCGAAAAGTGACGCCGTGAAACTGCTGCCAGACAAGCTGGAGCCGAAGAAGTTCCCTCCCTGAAGCAATGCCCGTGGGCCACACAGGAGCATCGCAACTGCGTGAGAGTCAAGTCGGCTCACAAAACTGATGCTCTCTCTATCAGCGCGTTGCAAGCGCAAGAGCAGCTTCAAAACAGATGTTGAAATGTGAGATGTGTGTCACGCGCGCGTCACTGCGTCGCACAATGCTACCGCGCAGCGGAAAACCAATCGGAGGCTCTGCAAGCTGCGCATGACTGACAAATGACAGCGCCTCCACTAATGTAAACACGGCTGTGACGCACATTAGCCAGCGCGAGCGCCTTGAATGGGCATGCATCATCTATGCGCATAGGCGAAGGGCCATGTGCGTGCATCACAGTCACATTGACATCTGTCTAGCAGGGATGCCCGGGCTGGAAGTGCTTGGCACCACGGCGACGCCTTTCTGGCTTGGGGCAGATCGGCCGAATCGCGCCCCGGCTGAGAGAATCCATGATGATGATGATGATAGTCAGACCAACGTGGCATGTCCGACGTACGCATCGCTTCTCCCTGGTTGAGCAGCAGAAACTATCGTCCACAAAAAATTGCCTTGAATCGACACCGGCCCTTGCTCGTGGAAGAAAATGCAAATCGCAAGCGGGTTCAAAAGGGCGCCCTTATTTAGCCCCCAGTCTTTTTTCCAGGTCCCTGGCGCTATCCCCCCGTCTCTTTTTCCTAGAATTAGCTCATAGCTCACAGCCATTGTTATATAGGCATAGCATCCAGTGAGTCATAGACAGAGTCATATCATAGGCTTAGCCACTTAAGTTATGTTTAGTTTAATTTATGTTAAGCTTAAAGCGTACATGCTTCAAGTTTTCAGTTTCAAGATTTAAAGTGTAAAGCCCACAGCCTTGCGTTGAAGTTAAAGTCCAAGTTGTGATCCTATAGTCTGGTGGCAACCGCTCCTGTGTTTGCACTTGCATGTGTGACAGTGTGACTGTGTTTGCGCGATTTGACGCTCTACAGCTTGCGCTGCAGCATTCCCACAGGCTAGCCCAGTCAAAATCCAGAGTCAAGATCGTAGAGCGCAACATAGTCGTAGTCGCGAGTCATGTGATAGTTGTAGACATCTTCAGTCGTAATGTCCTTGGCGGTACTTACCGGCCATGGGCTGCAGGCCAATTTGCTATTGGCAAGAGGCATAGTCAAGCCGTAGGCTGTAAGCAATTGGCTAAGCTTTGGAGTGGTAAGCTTGAGGTCTTCACAGTCAGGTAGTCCGGCTCAGCCTGCAGCAAAAGGACACCATGTGGCGCGGAATGATCGTGAAACCAAGAACGTTGACACGCAGGTCATTCCAATCCTTGTGGCGGTTCGCCACGCCAGTAGCTTGGTTTGCAGGGCCTCTAGGTTGGGAGGCAGTGGCCCAATGACCTGGACATGCAAGAACAACAAAAATACAAAAATCTAATCTTACGGGTCATGGGACTTTAGGCCATGAGCCTTTTGGACTTATGAGCTTTGTGCAAACTTGTACGAACTTGTGACGGCCCGATATGATAAATACGGACCGACATGGAAAAGAAAAACACAACGAGAAACATCGGCTTTTGGCCTTGGCGACGCCGCTCCGCCAAGATGATGTGCATCTTGACCCACGCCTGTCTTGTGTCCGCTGAGTTGACAGTGCTGGCGCCTCCTGCACTTTCACGCAGTGGGAAGCCGTCAGGATCAGCTCCCTCTACTAGGCCGACCACAAATCTCATGACTCAGTCACGTGACGCAAGCCAAACACCCAAGATATAGCACATGTTGAGTGTCTAGTGCTTGCAACTCATACAACAGATGGTGGGATGCCTCCCCACCCCACCCCCCCAGCCCCCAGCCCGAGCCCCCACCCGTCGCACAAATGTCGTCGTCCACCCGTCGCACACCCGTCGCGCGCCCGTCGTCCGCCCGTCGTACACCCGTCCTAAGGTCGGGTTTGGGCCCAAACCAGACCTTAGGACCGTCCTAAGGTCTGGTTTGACGGTCCTAAGGTCTGGTTTGGGCCCAAACCCGACCTTAGGACGGGGGACGGACGGCGGGACGACGGACAGACGACGGACGACGACAGAGAGACGACAAGTGGACGACAGAAGGACGCCCCAGCCCGGCCCACAGTACACCCAGCGCTCGCGCGCCCTTAAGGTCTGTTTTGTGGGCCAG